AAATACTTTCATCTGGGGAGAAATGGGGAATAAAGCAAGAATATATTCCAATCCAAGGACATTTCACTTCTGTCCAAGCTTCATGAGCTCTAATACTTTCCGTCTACACAAGGCCAAGAGACCATGTAAAATTATACTTACTTCCTGTAACTTCCATCTCTGTAAATCTCCTATTAAGTTAATTTTTTGAGCAATTTCGTCTATGCAGAAAGTACTTGTTTGCAGTTGGCATTCAGCCTTCATGTTGACCTTGAAGGAAAATATTTATAGGTCAAAGCCATGGGTTTTGTATCAAGAGGCAGTACGAATTCTCCACAATCACTTCCAAGTCACCAGACATACCTTATACAGCTTTTTAAGCACTTTGAGGGTACCAATCCATGTCTTGTCTTTGGGGAAATGGTTATAACAAGGCAACATGGCTGACACACATGTCTTCAACATTTGAACTATTTGTTCGAAAAACGGACCGGGCAACAAGGACCAATACTTTTCTGAAAGAAAGATCGTTTCAAGTCATTAAAAATATAGACAGAATCAATCGTATGCTTAGTAAGCCAAAATGAGGAAAATCCTTGATGAGGCCACAGAAGAAATAAGCAATATTTTGAGGAGTAGAAAATCAATCTTAATTGTAGTCTAGATTCCAAGATTAATGTCTATAGGTGAACAACAATCAAGAAACTACTCTGAAGTAACCCCTTGTATTCAGATAGTCCTTGACTTACAACAGCACTGAAAAAAAGTGACTTGTGACTGTTTCTCCGCTTCTACCATTGTAGCATTGCGGGCTGTTTTTTGGCCATTTTCAGGCATTTTTTGGCACTCTGGTGCTGGCATACCTGTTTGGGGGGCGTTTTTTTGGCCGTTTTCATGCTGTTTTCCGGCACTCTCTAGCGCTCGCAAAGACTAGCTAGTGCGGACCAAAAACCAGAAGGGCACCTGGAGATGGCACATGTGCCCACAGAGAGGGCTCTGCATTCCACCTATGGCATGCAGAGTGTGCCAGAAGTTTGCCATCACGGCTATAGGTTCTGAAAACCATTGAAAACTTGGCTTTGTTCCCTGGTCTCGGAGTAGGGTGGCTGTGGAGCTCTTGTTTGTTTTCTGTGGGATTTTTTAAAGATGTTGAGTTTCTCATTCTAGATATTCAGGATTTCCTCATTTTCTTTCTTGCTTTATTTCATACAGGAAGTCACACGGTGCTGGATGGCTTCAAAATTTAAAGAAACAAACCAACAAGGTTTGTCAGACAGAAAAAAATACTTGTTCTGACCCAGCTTAGCAGAACCAATAAACAGACTCCTTGTCTGGAAAAACCCCTCTTTATTTATCTACTGTGAATTAATGGTATTCACACACCGAAAAGTCCAGGCCGTAATCCTTCAAAGGGTTTACTGCAATAACAGACCTTATCTGTTCCTTGGGGTACTTTCCAGCCGGGAGCCTCCAGCCTCAAAGCAGTAAATTAAGTTTTGGCAAGCAGTCTCTGAGGCAGGAACCTTGATAAGCAAATCTTCCAAAAGAAATCCGAACTGTTGTCTCCTACGAACATGCTTCCCCTTTTCTTCTATTTATTCCCCAGCCAGGGTGGGGCCATTCAGCCTCCACATGTGCCTTTCTTCTCGAGTCAACTCCTTGTCCTACTCTCCAACATATACGCATCCGGAACAGGCTCCAGCTGTCCTTTCTCCCCACTTATCTCTGACTCTGAAGGCAGCTGGGAAATGTTGGAGGGCCCTGGCTCTACCTCTGCTTCCAAGGCAGAGCATCCCTCAGAGCCTTCCCCAGACTCCAGAACTGGCCCATGTTCCTCCCCAACCTCCTCATCATCCGAGTATTCCACCAGCTCTGCTGGCAGCTGATAGGCCACAACAGGAATACACTAGTTCTCTGTTACCCTGGAGGGCAAGATTAGAATTACTGAGATGAATCTACAGTGAAGCCCTACAGTCAGAGCCATCAAACAACCAAATACATTGCCTTATGAAGACATAGATTCCCCTTCACTGGACGGGTTCAAACATACACCAGATAGCTATCTTGGATAAAATTATATCTGTGATACCTTCTATGCTTATGGCTCTACCGCTTTTGCTGAAAAAATGTAGAATTCTCTTGAGCTGGGAGACTGAGGGATGTAATATATGAATGGGGGCCACACAGGATGTGTGAAAAGAGAAAAGGAGAATTGTTCCAAACTCACCTAGAATCTTGGACGAGCCTTTGCTCAGGCCTGTGACAGCTTCAGCAAACTGTAAAACTAGTGACGGTATTTCATGTGATCCCTGAACAACACAGCACTCAGGTATCAGAAGAAAAATAGCAAAAGCTTCTTGGTGAGGAGAACTCCGTGGAAGAGCAGGAAATAGGTGGTCCAATAGGGAAGAACAGATCTGTTTAAAAACAGTAGGTATAGCTGGCTTCAAATCTATTTAGTTTCAGAAGAAAAGCAGATATGCAAAAAGGAACAAATGTTGCCCTGCCCATTCCTGAATTGCAGCCCATTATGGTGTAGCACCAGGTTGCATGATCAGACATTACTTTGCCAGGACTGAATCTGTCTTAAGTGAGAAGCTATTGAAAGGGGCTGCCAAGAGACACTATTGTCCCATGAGGTTGATTGAGGTTGCATGGATCAGGTTGCAAGCCTTCGCTGTGTATCTCCTATGTTCTAGATTAGGGATGTCAAACTCAAGGCTCAGGGGCCAGATCTGGCCCGCAAGATGTTTAAATCTGGACCATGGGGTCATCCTGGAAATATCAAAGGACCGGCCCTTGGTGCCTCTGCCATCCAAAACGGGCCACACAAAGGCCTCACAAGGCCCTCACGAGGCTCATTTTCGGCTGGGAGTTTTGGCCGGCAAAGTGTTGCAGTAGAATGTCCAGGCCAAAAATGGGGCACTGGGGGGTCTGTGTGCAGCCACCCCGCAAACTGTTTTGGCTGGCAGGGTGCCACAGGAGGCATCTGTCCCATCTCCTGCCCCCTGCTCCCATCCCCCACCCCGCTGCCAGCCCACAGAGGAGAACTACAATGCTGATCCGGCCCTTGAAGGAAATCCAGTTTGACACTCCTGTTCTAGATAATTCGATTCATAAAGCTTTGTGTAGTCACCTCCTGCTTGGCTTTCCATAACTTTATTCTGCTGTGTTTTTAATCTTAGCGGGGCTGTGGCATCTGTTGGGGTAGGGGAAAGTGGATGAGATTTTTTCTTAATGTTATTTGTTGTTTTTACTCTGTAGTGCGCTATGTGGACATGGGCAATGGATGGAAGGGAGTACATCAGGACAGGATTTCTGTGTAATTGGAACTCATGAAGAGGCAGAGCTCCCAATTCCACAGGGAGATCTGCAGAAAATTCTTACAGAAGTCACATTCCAATTGGAGATAATCGTCGGATAATCGTTATCCGAAGGCATCTAAAGGCCAGGTGCTCTCCTTGTGTTCTAGATTAGAATTTTGGGTTTTTTAATCCTCTAACTCAGGGATCTCCAACCTTGGCCATTTTAAGACTTGTGGACTTCAATTCCCAGAATTCCTCAGCCAGCTTTGCTGGCTGAGGAATTCTGGGAGTTGAAGTCCACAAGTCTTCAAGCGGCCAAGGTTGGAGACCGCTGCCTAACTGTTAGGACAACCTTCACACAACTGGAAGTACCACTTGGGGGATCAGGATTATATACCAGTCCATCTATGAATTCTCTCATCTGATCACAGAACAATCAACAGACCGTCCAATGAGGAATAATCCCTATATTGAAAGAAAAATATTTTTTCTTTACCTGCTGAGCAATCCAATCTGTCGTAGCAAGTTCCTTCAAAACTTCTCTTGCTTCTTG